CAAACAGCCAGCCCAGCCCCATTGCCTGAAATAGTTGCGCCTACCGCCTCGCAGTTTAATGCAATCTAAAGTTTTTGACAGACCCGCCCTCCCCCCACAGTCTCCTTCCCTCCGGGCTTATCTATGTGACGGATCCAGAGAACGACCCTTTGACTGGGCTCGGCCTAATTTATGGCTTGCAATTAGCAACTGGCAAATGTGTCATTTTATTGGCCCAAAAGTTCGGCTAACACAATAAGTGGACATGCTTGAAAAGATATTAAGCTAGTTGCTTTTGAAGTGCTTACAAATTGCAAATCATGCAAAGGACCCCCAGGGTCTGTAAGTTCTAATGAAACCACGAATTTGCCAACCAGAGACTTGCACATGTTGAATATATGCCTTTTTATAGCATAAGAGCGTTTTTGAAATATAAAATGAATATAAAATATAATGTAAAAATAAAATAGAATATAAAAATATATTCAAGATGTGGCCTTCCGAAAATAAAGTCTTAAATGTTGACTTAATTTGCCAAAATTATATATAAAAAAAGAAATTGGGAAGTCACAATCCCAACTTTTAAAAAAATTGGGTCTGTTTTAAAAAAAACTTATTTGATATTTTTATCAATATCTCTTATAAACGAGGTACGATTTGGGAAGAATATACCATTTTAAACTCGTTATGATCTATACCAACTGCTCAACTCCTCAAAATTGATCAATATCGATTTCAAGATTTGTTACCTTCAAAAATTGATAAATATTGATTTTAATTTACCCTTAGCCCTTTTCAACATTTAGCTATACACAATTATTATTCCCATAGTTTCTATGGAGTTTCACAAGTCTAATAAAGCGTCTGATGAATCGTCAGCCTGCTGAAAGTAAAAATCGTATTGACAACTGGGGTTAAATATTAATATGAGTGAGCGCAAAGCGAACTACAAAAACCGGCGCACAGTAAATAGAGCAAGTCTCGTCTAGAGCAATTAGCAGACAAAATTTGTAATGCACAAGCACTCAAAAACACATACACATATGCATGTATGTATGTACATATTAGGCGATTATCTCTGAATACATATGTTTGGGTGTGTGTTTTCTGCAGTGATATCTACTTATGTTTTTGTGTAGCTGTTTATGAGTTATCTATGGCGCTCACACGAGTTTTTGTTGTTGTTTAACGCTTCAAAGAGCTTATCTTGAGATCATTTGCTTGCTCTAATTTCTGTGCGCCGAGCCACCGTTGTAAATATATGTATGTATTAGGCAAAGGGAGTATCAATATATGTATGTAAGTATGTATATGCGCAATGGTTGTTGCGCATAATAACTGCAACTCTCCTCTTCTTTTGATAAGTCTGCACATTTGTCAACACATATTGACCGGTTGTTGTGAATTTAATAATTGAGGCACTCTTGATATTAACTTTACAAGGGATATTAACTTTTGAGGGAAAAACAATAGTCGGTCGGAATTTATTAATCCTAGGTGAGAATCCTAGAGGTGATATCTAAATATGCTCATGTGTGGTTGTTTATACGCTATCTGCTATGAATGGCGCTCATAAAAATTTTCGTTGTTGCTTTTCGCTCAAAACAAGAATATATCTTATGATCTTTTGCTTGCTCCAATTTCTGAGCGCCGATGCAATGTTGTGCATGTATGTACATATGTATATGTATGCCTGAGCACAAAAACTGAATCTCTCTATTGCCTTTATTCCATTGAACATTCATAACTTCATAGCTTCCTTTCAAACTAGCAAATTTGTTATTAAAAAAAATTGTTGTTTACTTAAAGAACGCTTTTAAAATATACCATTCCATACTCCTCCGCGTGAGGAACTTCTTATATCTGACAACATTTAATTTTAAGAAAAGGTCAGTTGGTTACATTACATTACAGAACCGCATGCCTGACAAATTAACAGAGTGTTAAATTCTGAGTGCCTTCAGCGGACGAAACCCGGCGCACAGCAATAAAGCAACCGATCTAAATTCGAGTGAGAGCGCTGCATTACATTGATTAGCATACACACCCACACAAACAAGTGTATGCCCTGAGCGCCAAGGCCAGAGATAACTAAGCACTCATCTGTTTGTACGTGTGTTCGCTGTCAGTATCTACTTATGCTCGTGCACTCACGATTTTTTTCTGTGCTTATCCCTGATTGGTCCAATCAAAAATTGCTTACATTGAAGTCTCTACTGGTCGTTTGCCTGCTCTATTTGCTGAGCGCCGGTTTTTTTGGTCCGCTTAAGATCTGCACAACTTTTTTCTGTTATAGTGTATGTAGCCTCATTAGTCAATATGGCATGAAGCATGAAGCATAAAGCTATTTTTTCGAATGTTGTACCCTTTAGGACTAAATTGGTATAATGTATAAATGTATATATTAGATTAAAATATTAATATATGGGGCTGAGCACAATCCTCAGCACGCATTCATGTGCGATTGACTACCGGGGACAAACCAACTCAAAACTAAGTTGCGCGAGCGCAACGCGGACTACAAAAAACGACACACAGAAATGGACATGTCCCGTTTTAAGCTATTAGCTGCCTTCCCTAACATGCATATACACATACATATGTACGTACATATTTGAAGATTATCTTTCCGTACCTATGTTTGGGTGTGCCTGTTTTCTCAAATGATATCTACTTATACTTGTGTGTGTTTTTGCTTATGCTTTATCTACCTTTGTCAAGCTTCGCTTCAAGTTTTCGCTTGTTCAATTTGCTGTGCGCCAATTTTTGTCCACTTTAGAATAAAAGATGTTCTAGTTGAGTGCCAGCAGTCAAGTAAATCTGTTTTAAAATGTTCTAAGTGATAATTTTCTATCAAATGGCGTACTTATGGTACATGATTTAGGACTTGTGCGGATCGAGGGTATTAATTGAGATTATTTTGACAAAAATCAAAATGTGAGATGCTCTGTGGTTTCGAAAGACCTATACAATCATCAATTTAGATATCGTACCTTATTTAAAGTGTGTGAAGCCATTCAAAAGCTGACAAAAATATATAATACATATTATTATAATGCCCAACCACGCATACATACATCTGTACATATGGCTATTCCCTCGTGTCTCAGTTGGTATGTGTCTTTTCTGTTGTGTTATATATTTATGCATGTCTGTATTTGCTGCTTATGCTCCGAAAAATTATTAATCTTATTATAGTTTGCAAGCTGTATTTTCGTTGCACCGCTTTTTCGATCGCCTTATGACTTCGCACCCCAACTCTGTATAGTTTTGACAACCGTAGTCAATTGCACGTTCCACAATTCGAGTTTAATTTTTTGGAACCTTACAAACCAACATTAACAATTGGCATTCGAAAATTCCCAATTAATAATTTGACCAAAATTAATCAAAGTAAAAAGGGCTACTCTACACCTATCAAATAATAACTATGCACAATTTCAGCGTGTGTTTATGTAAATGTTACTACTCGCCTCAAACTAACTCAGATTTAAGTTACTCAAACGAAAAGGGAAATAAAGCAAGTCTTGCTTAAAGTCACGAGCAACATCCACACAAACAGGTGTATTCGCGGAGAGGAGCCAAGCCCAGAGATAACCAAGCAGTCGCCCGTTTGTGTGTGTGTTCGCTGTCGATATCTACTTATGCTCATGCACTTAGCGCTGATTGGTCCAATTAATAATTGCCTGCGTTTAAGTTCTCTTCTGTTAGTTTGCATGCTCAATTCTCTGAGCGGCGGTTTTTGGTCCGCTTTCGATCTGCACAACTTTTTTCTGCTTAGTGTGGCCCCATTAGTCAATATGGCATGATGTTAAGCTGCGAGTACAGTCTATTAAAGCTTTTTTTATGTTATGTTATGTTAAGCTGGCGCAAAGCTTATTAAAAGCGATAAACCCATGTGCATATACATACATGCATGCCTACGTGTACATGTACATTTTCGTCCGCTGTCCAGCTGTACGTTTTAATTAATAAATGTATGTGTGAGTGAGTGTGTGTGCGCTTAAATAAAACAAATTTCGCGAACGTATTAAGAAAGAGCACACAGAAAGTGGAGCAAGTCTTGTTGCTGCTCACAAGAGTTCGGGAGAGAGCGACGTAGATATTGTAGATAATGCACAAGTTCGCAATGCACATACATCTTTACATTTTTGTTGTCTATTTGTGCATGTGTGTGATTGCCTGTAAGTTATCTACCGTTGGATGGCGCTCACTCGATTATTTCGTCTGCGCAACATCATTTCGTTTTAGTTAAATGCCGGCTGTCGTGTAAGGCTGTTCAGAAATATTATTATTATTCAGAAATATTATTAGTTCAGAAATAATAAATGAATTTAAAACATTTCGTTAATCGAAAATAAATAACCCAATATAAGGCCATTCAAAGTTTAACAAAAACTAATGGCTACTTTTTTTTCGTAAAAATTCGAGAGAGCGCGATGAATAAGAAGATAATGCACTAGCAGTTATCTCCGCGATTCTCTCCGCATACATATGTTTGCATGTGTGTTTTCTTGAGTGATATCTACCTATGCTTCTGTGTGATTGCCTATGCGTTATCTACCTTTGAATGGAGCTCGAGTTTATGATTTGCGTGCTTATTTTGCTGTTCGCCAATCTTTGAGCACTTTGTGTGCACTCAACATAATTCTTCTTTAGTGAATGTCGAACAGCTGCTCAAATATGGTTTGTATAATTGTTAAATTGGTCGACAAATTCTAAATTTGTAGATTTCCGTCGACTTGAAAGACTTTCACAAGCCTCAATAGGTAAGGTATATCCTTTCGAAATCGTACGATGTAAAAATACTTACTAAATTTTCATTTTGTATTTTTCAGCCAAATCTGTCATCAGACGAGAAATATTCAATGCCTTCGGTACCTAGATGACCTTGGTTTTTTCATATAATACTTTTAACAAAATCTCATTCTAAATTTTGAAATCGACATGTTTAGCGTTCGGTCAATTTTAAGGACTCACGTATCCTAAAAATTACGTATTTGCAAAGTCGAACCTATATATTTTAGTTTACCAAAACCCAATCATTTTTTATTCTATCTTTCAGCCAAATCTGCCACGCACATGTACAGTAAAATATTCAGTTTCGTTGGGACACACGCCCATGGACAAAAATGATCAACAAATAATAATGTCGTTTGTACATCAGCGGATGTACGTTTGTACATCGTTTTAAAGCGGCATAATTAAAGAGATCGAACAAAATCATCGCGGAGTTATTTCCATGGAAAAGCATTTAAGAATTTGTATTCAATCATTTGTTTACCACCAGCAGAGATTCACAATGTTGGTACCTAGTTGACCTATATATCGTTGGTTATTCCATACCATGGATATAGTCCTAGCGAACCTAAAGGACCAAGTTCTTGAAAAATGCGCAAGCACATGGTCAAAAAATATGTATGCTTTCATTTTACAGCTTCCCCTAGCAACAGCCCGCTTCCTGGATAGTTCCTGGTTGACTATCATACCCTTGGTTATACCATGCCATCGATATAGTCCTTGAGAACCTAAAGGATCATATCCCTGCAAAATGTGCATTGAAATGATCCAAAAACATGTATGCTTTTTCTTTCAGCCACCCGTTTTCATTAGCTGCTGTTTTACAGCCGCCTTACAGCACTCCTTTTACATGAACTGCTACTTAACATGACTCATTTTAAATGAGTTACATTTTTGCCCCTTAAGGCTATGCAATGAAATTTTTTATTCGAAGCACTCGTCGACCTTCTGTGCATTTCTGTTCGCCTGGTATTTGAGTGGAATTTAGGTGCAAATTTGGCCCGGCGACGATGATGCCCCTTTGTGCTACGTCATTTTTCGGCCGCAAAAATATTTGCTGTCGATCTTCTGGGCATTTCTGTTCGCCATATCTGGCTTAATTAAAGTCCGATCCTGGATAAAATTGCTTTGTCAGTCATGGAGGTCCTTAGAGCTCATTTAAGTCCTTAATTTGTCATTCTAAAAAGATAAAAACACATTTAAATTAAACAAGGCAAAAATAAATAAGAGCATTTTATGTAAGGAAAAAAGGACATAGCTCGGTCACATCCTTGCAGATTTTTAAAGGACATAGTGCGTTAGGATCGTATAGGCCCACTGCATCGATGTGCATCAACAAAATATGGGGTCATCTAAGAATCATAGGACTTGTATTTTTACTTGTAAAATTTTAGTCGCAGAGCGCACGGAAATGGGCTGAAAACACATATCCTTGTATATTTCCCAAACTATAAGGACGATCTTAATGAAATTTGGCCAGGCGGTAGTCCTATTTAATACAATTATTTTGGCACATGCCTCGCCAGGATATGCAAGGATAAGGCCGAGTTATGAACTATTTTTTGTTTACAAAATTGTCCTTAAAACTTTTTGTCTGAAGGACTTTCGTCCTTTGGGCTGTAAATTCTTCAATGGGAAAGTGAGAACTATCTGCTGGCCAAAGGACATCCCGATAGTCCTTCAAATGGCGAAGTTAGCCCGGATATGTTCGATTTTGGCCAATTTTGCAACTAACCGCCTAGGATAAATTTTGGTGACATTTTTTGTCGAATCCTTAAAATCCTTCAATGCCAATTGATAGTCTCGCCTCTCACGAGTTCAAAAAGGTATATCGTTTTAAAATCCTTAAGGATTTGGCCGAGAAATGGCGAATTGAAAAATGTCCTTTTTGAAAAGTTGGCCATAAATCGGCAACGACAAGGAAGATTTTGATGTCCTTTGGCCAGTTTATGGTCCTTGCTTTTATGATTTGTTTGACTTAATAATTGTCAGGATCCGTAAGGATACAGCCGAGTTATGGCTTTGTTCGTTTACGAAAGAATTCTACGCAAATCTAGGCTTCCCGAAAGACCTTCGTCCTTTGCATTGTATATTCTGAGTCGGGAAGATATGGAGTATCGGTTGGTAACATGACATCATGATCCGCAAGGACACGGCCGATCTACATGCTTCTTTATTTACAAACAAAAATCTCCTTTCGTCAGCTCCTTGAAAGACTTTCGTCCTTTATATAACACATTATATGTTGGTAAGACAAGGATTGCATGTTGGCCAAAGGAGATCACGATGCTCCGTCAGGTTACCAATTTATGGCCGATTTGATTATAAACTTAAAAAAAGTAGCAATTTTTTGGAAATTATATATATACGATATTAATGTGCTTTGGACAGATCATAGCCATATATCGAAAACACCAAGGACGACTTTGATATCCTTTGCAACGTTGGTAGCTCTTGTGCTTACGAATTGGTTTGCCATGAGCAGAACGATTTCGTGATTTCAATCGAATTTGTATGGTATATGAACAGTACACGGACAATAATGATGTCCTTTGGCCTGTTTGATACGAGAGGTTTGACACAAGAAAGTTTAAGAACGGCAGGAATGAGACTTAGATATAACATACTTACTTGTGAAGCTGGAGCAGCCGACTCGTCCGCACAGGCTAATTAACCTAGTCCACAGTCCTAGGCCTCATCTACGCCGGAAGCTGCCAATACCCTCGAGCCCCTTGGCTATGGCAGACGGGCAAGAAGGAGGAAACAGTCGTCAGGCTTCACAACAGAATCTAAAAATCGCCTGCAATTATTGAATAATGTAAAATGAACAGAAGGAACTTAAGTTTATACTCTTACCTTGTATCACAGCAAGCAGCCTGTTGTGGTTCTCTTTAATTATACGTCAAAGATATCTAGCCTTCTGCTCCCCAGAGATATAACGAAAGAAGTATTATGCATTCACCTGGAGTGCATAATGCGCTAGCGTTCTGTGTATCCACTCAGCCGCTAGAAATACAAAGACATTTAAATGTAATATTTTTTTGAAATCGTGCAGATCCCTTCAAATGATTGGCAATCAAAAAAATTTTAAATCAAGCGGTAACATCTCAAATTTTGCCCAGAATTTGGTAGGTTCCCAAGTGTATTTATCATTATTGTTGTTTATTTTTGGTAAATTAATTTAAAAAAAATTAATTAAGACTGTTTGAAACTTAAAAATAGTTTGAATTATCTCGAGTAAATAATATAGAATCCTGCTGTTAGCTTATGAATCATAATCTGAACACATTTCTCACCAATATTCTCCCAGCTGCAGTTTGGTGTACATCTATGTTATGTATATCAATAAGTTTATGAAATGGTTTTCTATGTGTTCTATCTCAAGTATATTTCTAAAGTGGCTCAGCATAGACGTCGAATCGATTAGACACACAGAAATTGGCTTGCTCATATTTGCCTCTATCGGGAATGTATCTAAAACAAACTCATTAAATCGCCGGCTAGACAGATAAATTGACTCGAAAATCGTTGCTTCGGCTACGTGTGCTGTTGACATGCCACGAACTTGAAAACAATTAACGTACCATTTTGATATGTGAGCTAATCGAAAATCCGGACACACACACACACACAGACACACATGCATACAATGCAGGTAAACCTGTAATATTTGCCAAATGGCTGAACAGCAACAAACAAAAGAAGGGGAGCCAGAAAGAGGGAGCGAGAGATGAGCAGAGACGCTGCTGACCCTACCTGGCCGGAGGGAAAACAAGTGCTTTGAATGATAACAAAAGGTGTTGCACAAACCTGAAGGGCTGACATGCATGCAGCTCCTGCTGGCAACAGGATTTATGCGATTACATAAACCAGATACGAGACATGGACGAGCTGACTGTGTGTGTGTGTGTGTGTGTGTGTGTGTGGAGCAGGGTCGCATTCTCGGGCTCATTAAATGTCAATTTTTGGCTCGCACAGGACATTGTCGAGTCGCGTCGCCACACATCAAACGTTCTCCTGCTGCGCGCGTGTCGCATCGTTAGCTAACCAGCGTCCAGAGTCCTGAGTCCTTTGTGCCGGACAAGTGCATGCAGTGTGAGAAAGAAAGAGAGAGAGAGAGAGCACTATGACCATAATGCGGTCAGCTTTGGTTCATCTGGCGCGCCTAAATTTATTATTATATGGCCAGTTGCATTGTTTGTTGTGAATTGTGAATTATTATCCCTTTCGCATATGTTGTTGTCCTTTTGTATGCCCGGCTCTCAAACGTCTGCTGCCTGCCTGCTCGCCTGGCCCGACTAACTGCCACGCCCACATCTTTTATTTTCGTTTTGTACTATTTCATTTCTTTCGTTTTACTGCCAAGAGTCGCGTTTCTAAAGTTTTCGGGGCGTGTTGCACCATAAATTGTTTTGCTTTCTTTGGAATTCTTGGGGTTCGTTTATTGGGTTTTTCGTACACTTTGCGTTTCAAATTTCATAATTATCGGGGCGTGTATTGCAACATTCTGCATACAATTTCAGTCTGCTTCACGCAAACGTTCCCACCGCTGACACTGCCCCTCCTTGTGGTATCCTTATGTGCTCCTATATCCTGCACTTGTTCTCAAAGATACAAAATCAATTTATTGTTTTTGTGCTGCGGTCAATGTTCTGTCCTCCTTTGGTTCTCGTTGTTGTTGCTGTCGTTGTTGTGGTCAGCCAAGTGTTGGACAGCATTATAAATATTTTAGCTTGCTTTTGCAGCTTATGGCCAACAAATGCTTGCTGGCGGGTTTTGGGTTTTGGTTTTCGGGCTGGCAGGCAACTGCAGTCCATTGAATTGTTTAAGTATCCGAAAAGCTCAACTTTTGTTTGCTTTTGCAGGCGGACAAATGTTTTGTTTGAATTGTCTTTTAAGTCCTTGTAATGAAAAACTTGAGTGCCAGAGGCTGCCCTTTGATTTTCCCACATATAAGTCTCAAAGCGTTTTATTGTTTTAAGCATTACATTCGAGGCGAATAAATCATGCAAACACTTTTGAGGCAATTGCACGGCTCATAAAAGTTCTTACATATGACAGCACCTTTCTTAAAGACTTCCGATTTAGTAAGAGTAGAAAATGTTAGCTAATTTGAAATTCACTTTAAATTTCATGAAAATGAAACACAAGCCCAAAAGCAATCCCACTTAATGTCAAGATCTTTAAGTATTCTGTCCAAAAGTCAAGTTTTAGTTCACATTGCATTGCCCACAACTTTTTGATGCCCAAAAATAGTTTAATAAATCGGAAAATAACACTCACCCATTCCGGTGAACAAACAAATCGCTTAGCATTTGCACTTTGCGGCCCTCTGAAAAAATATTAAAACCCCAAGCACATGATTCGGCAAACACATTTGGAGTGGCCCCGTGCAACACCCACCCCCTCCGCCAGAGTTTTGAGAAAGCGCGTCGTAGACAAGTCCTTTAACGGCGACCACATTGCGGCCAAATGCCGGTCACATTCGGGGCACCAGCTGCTGTGCAACCACCGCAAAAGCAACCCCCCCACAGCCCAGCCAGCCCACACTCTCGGAAACAACCAACTGAATTCTAATAATTTTTAAACAAAAACAAACTTGTGCCCATGCAGCGAATTCTGAAACATTACAAAAATTACAATGAGACACATTCGCCACGAGTTTCGTGTGTTTTGTTGTTTAGAGAATTCGTTTCGAAATTTCACGCCAAAGTCTGTGACGAAATTTGCCAGCGTGTTCGGGGGTCGTTGGGGTCGTGGCACAGAACAAGTGCAGCAGCCGGCAGCTGACAACCCCCATGGACCGCAGAGCCAAAGAGAAAGGTTGCAACATGAAACCAACCAAAAAAAAGTAAAGGAATACCAACTCAACCCCATGGCCCAGGCATTGCCACTTTTAATCAGCGCCCTGCGCAGCTATTTAAGGGACCAGGAGCAGGACGAACCCGCCGGATTCCCCTGGCACTTGGTCGCTTTCTGCAGCGGCATTAAAATTCACTGAAATACAAAATGAAAATTTCTATACTGCGGGCCTTGCGTTAGTTTTTTAGCGGCAAATGAATGAGGGAATGGGCAAGCGAACGAACGAATGAATGCATGAATTCCAAAGCAATTTTGATGTTGACATTGAGTAATGTTGGCATTGGGCCCATACGCCGAGCCCCGGTTTCGGATTTTGGGCACAACTTGCGTTGGGTGGTTGTTTGGTTTGGCATTTTCATATCATTTTCGAATATTACATGCGGATTAGCATTTCCTCATTGGGATTGCAACAAAAACGTGCCATCGTTATGCCAGGAGTGGAAGCATTGGGTGGGTGGCCCAAAAAGGGGGTGGCTTGCATGCGGGCGGTTGGGCGGACTAATGGGTGGGTTTGAGTCCAGACAATGGGAGGTGTTTTATTGTATCTAAACTTAAAGCTGATAGCTCATTGAAGGGTTACAAAATTAACTAAAGAGATAAATAGAGCAAAAAGATAGAAAGCATTATCCATACGAAGAGCTCTAAAAAATCTCTGAAATTCCATAAAAAAAGATCAAAGTGTGGTATTAAATTTAATCTTAATTTTTTAGTTGCCTATAGTCGATAATAATGTTTTATTCAAATCTTAACTTGCGCACTTTTTGTTCATACCTTAATAAAATTAAATCCTTAAAGTTTTGGAAAATAGAGCATAATTGATTATTCTTATTATTTCACTCTACTTCTCTTTTTTTCTTTTCTTTTCTAACAAAAATATCTTTTTATTCAACTCGGTGAACTCTACAACTTTTAGCTCAATTATTAAACTATTTCTTTTTTGCTCAGTTGCTAGTTTTTTGTTTTATTTTTCATATCTCCAAAAATTGAACAGCCTTTCCCTTACAGTTTACCGCGTGAAGCCTGCCTTAAAGTGTGCCTAGCCCAAACCTTTTTTCTTAACAAGTTGGCTCAACTTTTTGAGAATTCTCAAATCAACAGCCTTTCCAAACTCAGCCACGAGCAACTTTTCAATTTGCTTTTCACGCTTGCAATTTTACAAGCTGCTACATGATTGGGGTCTTGTCCGGACATAGTTCCTACCAATCCCCTCTTCGCCCTGTCCGCACTGACGTCCCTCGCCAACTAGGCACTGTCTGCCCATAACAAGCTGCCAAATTTCACACTTTGCTCTGCTGCGGGAAAATTCAATAGCCGAGCACCTAACTAAAACTTTCAGCGCGTGGCGCTTGAAATGTGTCAGCGATATGGAGAATTCTTGAGCTGCAATCGAACTAACCCCCGAGGAGCTCCAGCTCCAGCTTCAGCAGCAGCAGCAACAGCAGCTACCCTTTTGTCAGGCATAATCTAATTTACTGAACATTTTATTAACTGACAGTTTATTAAAAACTCATCCAAACTGGGCCCGACTTGGATTCAGATTTGGTTCTCGGCTTTTGGGGTTGCCTCCTTATCAAGATCCACGACACATGTCAGCGCTGTGTTTGCTGATTACCGGCGCTAGATAAATATTAAGCAACTATATAACAACTTCCCCATGTCCCTTGCCCCTTATTCCCTCCATTCATTTGGTTTGCCTCCATGGAACGACGTCATCGCCTGTTTGTTTCGGGAGCGCCAAAACAGCTTCCTTTCTGTAATTGACTCAACGCCAAGGGCCAGACCTCCACATCGATACCGCCCCGCCCCATTCCCCGCCCCCTCGGATGCCCTGCAGCACTGTAATGAAATTTTTTGGCTTCGAGTGCTATAAATGTATGCAGGGCCAACTCCAGGATTGTTATTGTTGTTGTTTGGCACGTGGCATGCGGCAGTTGCTACGTGCAGGTGGTGGTGTGGGGGAGGTGGGAGACAATGGAAGGAAATGGCATGAAATTGATTTAGATTTTAGTTATGTTGTTATTCAACATGCCTCCCGCGGCTTGCATGTAATTATTTTTGAACAGGCAGTTGTGAAATAATTAAAAATGATTAGCTCAAAAACATTTCCTGCCGTCGCTAGACTCTTGACAAGGACCCAAGGCGTATTTGTTTTGGCCGGAGCTTGACAAAAAGCAAGCAATATTTATTGAAAGTTGCAGCTGCTTTTTAACCTAATGCCACGAAAACATAAGAATTTGTCTTGTAACAAAGCATAAGACTTTAATATAGTTTAAACTTCTTAAAACTTTGTCTGAGACTAAGTCCTTTTTGTGTTTCCTTCAGCTACGCTTCAAAGTGATAAATTTCAATTTTTTATGGCATCAAGAAAAATCAAAACAATTTCATGTGAAAAATTATGTTTTTGAAAAATGTATCAAAGCAACCGCACACAGAGAGAGAGAGAGAGAGAGAGAGAGAGAGAGAGAGAGAGAGTGAAGAACGTGGGGCTAGCGCATGTCAAAAATTTTGAACAACTTCTCAGATGGAAGAGGCTGCATCAAGTGGACGACCAGCATGACGATAATGTGGCTACGCTGATGAGGATGCTGATGCTGATGCTGTGCGTGCTGGCTGGAAGATGACGAAGCTGCTGGAACTGTGCCTGTGCCTGTGTCTGGGTTTGGTTTTGGTTTTGGGTCCGCGTCTGGGTTTTATGGTAATGCCAAGTACGTGAAAGATGCACCAAACTTGGCTGCTCATTCCTAGAATAGCTGCCAGCAGCATCAGCAGCTGCGGTGGGGGATATTTGTGAGCCAGACAAGATTTATCGAAATAAGTCGAAGACACTTGTTTACTGCCCGGCACAATGCGCTCTTATACTTACATTTGCCAAGCCACCAAATGTATCTGCAGCCGAATAAAGTCGAATATAAAATTTACTACAAGCTTATGGCCATCATATAAATTACGTTGTTAAAGATACTTTTCTCTGCCAGTCGCTAAGTGAGCTTGGCTGCAGCGAGACTTCCGCCAATTTGACATATATTTTTTTTTTGTAGTTTTATATTATGCGCTAAGATCCACTTAATATAGAGTAACACATATGCAGCTGAAACTAAAGATTTAGTTCTCGAAATAAGTAATATTCCTTATATTACTTTATAAATCTGTTGTGCACGAATTCAAGACAATTTGTTGAAATGACTTACAGACCAGACTGGGTCCTGAACCAAGCCTCAAATCTAGTTAACAAATTAGAAACCACAAAGCCAACAACAACAACAATACAAACCGCAGCTACATCAACCACAAAGGCAACAACAACATTTGCTTGAAAATCAGTTTTCGCCTCTGCCAAGCCACAAAGCCACACCCCGAAAAAAAACGCCCTTAAATGACAGGCATGGAGCTGGGGCTGAGCTGTGGGAGAGCTACTAAAGCCTTTTGTCTGGAGCATGAGACTGGGACTGGGACTGAGACTGGGACTGGGTCTGGGGCACATCGGAGTGTGTTGCACTTTTGAATTTTCAACTTTGTCTGGTGCGCATAAAATTTACTTGCTCCAAATTCAATTCAAAAGCGATTATCACCACTTAGCTGTCAACGACACGACGCCAACTACAAGAGAGCCCAGCTGGGCGAGCTTCTCAGCGCCCGAGTCCGAGTCCGAGTCCGAGTCCAATGCCAATAACCAGCGATGCCACTTGAACACATCAGAAAGGGCATGGCCGTCTGTGTGTGTATCTGTAAGTATGTATCTACAACTATAACACTTGGTTGGCTCAAATAAAATTTACACTTACAAGTGGCGCTAAAGTCAAGTGCAATGCCCCCCTCCCTCCCTTCTGACCACATAAAGCAGCTGCCGTCAGCTGGTCAGACATGGCCAAAGTGTGGCCCGAGGACGGGCGCGGTTGCGGAGGGGAGACGCTGCGGCAAATGTGGTCAAGAGTTTTATAAAGTTCATCATCCATGGCCTGCCTGGTCCTAAGCATTTTTCAAGTGCAGCGCCAAAAGATTTTCAATTTCAAATACGAGCATGTATTATATAAGCAGTTGGCCGGCAGTCGCAGCCTGTGAAAACCATTTCCACACCTTCCCGCTACGACTTCAAGCCATTTCATTATGCTCTACACAATGGGCACAATAGCTATGTCATCCAGTTGGCAGTGCTCCAATTATTTAATGTGATTTTGCAGCGAAAGATATAAGATATCACTAAAGTAAGCTTAAGTGCGGCTAGACTTTGAGATATTTAATCAATTTAAGAAATATTTTTTTTACGATATTACTAATAAAAAGTTAAGTGCGTTTAGATTCTGAGCTAATGATATATTCATATAAATGTATGTATATATATTATATTAAATTCTCTAAAATTATAATCTCATAAATCTTAACTGAAAAAAAAGGGCATCAATTTTGTATATCTCATAAAATACAATCCTCCCTCTCTCTCTCTCTCTTCCACGTATCTTCCCGCATTATAAGATTTGATTAAAATTTAATGTAAGCTTAAGTTCAATTAATATTTAAGATGTTGAAAAATTAAAAAAAAATGTTTTTAAGTATTAGTTAAAAAATTACATAATATATATCTTAAATTTGTTAAATAAATTCTCTGAAGAGCTGTCATATAAATCTCTTCAATCATAAAATAATTGGTATATCTTATAGAATATATGTCAACGTATATATATGACTTCTTTAAATAAACTCTCTCGAGTAATTATAATCTCTCTGAAAAACAGGGCATCAAATATTTGTATATATCATGAAATATATTTTATACTCCCTCCCACTCTCTCTCTATCTCTATCTCCCTCTATCTTCCACTTGTCTTGCTGCACATTCATAAAGTACATAATCATGTTCATGACGTGAGCTGAAGTGGACTCGGACTCGAGCTTGGGCTTGAGTTTGAGTTTGGGCTGGACTGTTGGCCTATTGGGTGTCTGTGGTGTCTGTTTTATAAAAGCTTAAACCGTTACAAGTATTTAAAAAGCACTTGAGAGTGAGGACTCGCATAAATGTATTAAAAGCATATTGAAATGTATTGCATTGTTTATTTTGATTATTTCAACAGCAACAGCAACAGCAAATGGTATGTATGGTATGCCTGTTACATAATCTTCATTTTATTTAAGATGTTTTCTTTAGGTAATGAAAATGGAAGCAGAATTAGCCGCTTCTGGGCGTCATTTTAGCTAACTTGGCAATGTTGTCACAGTTGAGTTTCTGGTTCGGATCTAGTTGGAAATACAATCATCAGAGAATCAGAGAATCGATGCAACAAACCATTTTCCACGTGAACTTACTTTCGCAGGAAATGCGCAGAACATCACACTGTGATTGATCTCTCCAAATCCAGCGATCCTTGGTCTTCGAGCGACACAGAGAATTTAAATCAATTGTGTTGCCAACATTTCGTGAACAGGCCACACAGCTTCTATAGATACTAGTACAATTAGGCCTCTGGGCACTACCGATGCCCACGCAACAGACCACCAAGAGAAGGACGAGTACGCTTTGGATATGCATTTTGCGATCTATAGCCGATAACTGATACTCGATTGAGTTTTAAGGCTGGCTTATATAGGCAGAAAATACTATGGAAGCGGGTCAGTCAGAAACACCTGTTCATAAGACCACATAGTAATATCGCACAATGCCACAATATATCTGTTTCCCCAAAGTTTTTCAATTCAATTAATTAATCAAATAACTATATTATGCGCCCAAGAGAAGACACAATGTCTCATTGCTGAAAACACAAAGCATCTGGCTGACAGCTGGGCCGCGAACAAAGCCCGAAAATTGCTTCCTTAAGTTGGGCTTTCACTATAAATACCTTGTACGTTAGCGCAGATAAGCTAGAATACAACTCGAATTGCATTGCTTGGTAAACATGTCGAAATTTGTGCTTTTGTTGGGTAAGATAGCCACAATTCAGCCCTAAGGCTCAAGGATAATGCCGAAAGTGTTTTCTCCTTTATAGCTATCTGTTGCATGTGCCTGCTGCAAGTTGAGGCGAATCGGAAGACATGTGACGAGGTGTCTGCAATCTGTGTGAAAGCTCAGCGTTTAACAGGACCCGAGGATGATGTGACAAACTTGTTCAATTTCCAATGCCGCAGACAAAATCGCAATTGGAAAAATATAACACGCTGCCAGCTGGAGCGTGCCGCCTGCCTATGTAAGTCCAAACAATTAATGAGTATCTAGCATGTCTTAAGTAAAATATTCTTTAAATTAACCATTTCCAGTAACTTTGGTCAAATGCGATCGTCTGAGCTGTGTTAATGTGATCAATGCACTCCGGGGATGAATTTGATATTTCGATATCATAATATGAAATTCGATGCATACAAAAATGATTGACACAGAGGATTCTTTTGCATATTAATTGATACAATAAATTAATACAAGCTAAATCTTGTGGCCCTAACTAAATCGTAAAAGTCTTAAGTGATCAACAGGTTTGAGCCTTAATTCGCCCACTTATCAATAGCTGGCATTTTATTTTTAGATGCTCACGAGTAGAGTTCCCACTTTGTTGACTCAAGTTATTATAATCAAATTGTGGAATTTTCCCGCGTATCTATAACCCACCAATTCGCATGCAATATCCAACACTGATGCTTATCAGTCAAGTGCCTCGCCCCAAAGATCTGTTAAGCTCGCTCTAGAAACCCACCACGCTTCTTTGCATACGCTCTCTCACAAGTGCCTCTCTGCTGCTCTATTCTGCTCCCCAAATGCCCGCAACTCAGCTTACATATGTATTTTGAATGTATTTTCACCATAGCTCAGCTGATTTCGCGCTCTCTCTATCGCAGTACAAACAATGGGCTCAGCACTCTCGCATGTAAACAAAACTCGGGACGATGCAAAGAGGAGACCAGACGCCGGGCACACGTACAAAATGCCTGTCTCTCTGTCTCTCTGCCAATCCGTCTGTCTGTTTGTCTGTCGATCTATCTGCTAAAATACACATGGTGATAATAAAGATTGCGGCCGAAAACAAAATTTTTGTGCGGCGTTAGTCGCTGTCATCATTTACTTGGCTGCTCTTGTTGTTGTTACTGCTGTTTTTGTTGTTGTTGTTGTTATTGTTAATTTTTCACGTACACAAACAAACCAAACAACGTAGGAGCCAGCGTTTCGGCGTAGCAAACGCTTTAGATAATAAGCCAGTTGCACGTCCAGTCGCAGTCGCCTAGTTGACAGTTGTCGTGAGTGTCGCGTGAGCAACACAAAAGCCAGCCGCATTTCGTTATTGTTGCTGCAGCGAATTTATTACAAACTGCAATATTGATCGACTGGCCGACTGATTGATTAAGTGTTTCGAGTGTGTTAACGAGTGAGTGCAGCTGTTGCCCATGCTGCCAAAATGTCAAATATCACATATTTGCATCTGACCAAATTGCAACCGCTTCTCCATATGGTGGGCAGCAGTTACGCGGCGCTGGCGAATGCCGACGATGTATATTCACCAGACTTTCAAAGTATTCACAATAGCAATTACAACAACAATATCAGTGAGAGCATTGCCAATAACAGCAGCAACAACAGCAATCACAGTAGCGACAACATTTTGGTGCTCTACGAAGAGGAGAATTACAGTTACCGTTCCACATCGACCATTGTGCTAATGGTCGCCGCCTGGATACTGCTGATATTGGGCTTTGTCTTTTGCTGCTGTGCCGAGTGCTTTGGCGTTAGCGTCTGGCGGGGCAAGAAGCAGGCCAGCATCACGTTGAGTGGCGCTGAGAGCGGCGCTGCCAGCGCCACTGGCAACGAGCTGAGCGACCTCCATGCAGGTGAGTTTCTTAGCTTACGAGCTTTGGTGGGGAAAATGCCAAAGAAGAAGCGGCATACTTTTTGGCGCAGCTGAGAAATGGCGCTGCGACAGCGACAGCCAAAGCAACAGCAAAAACAACGTGAATGAAACTTTACCTTATTTGTTTCGCGTTGGCCAGAGCACGTCAACCCCCTCCCCCCTTCCGCTCTGCAGCATAGTTTGAAAATACAAAATGGCAACAATAACCGAAAAATGCAAGCGCAACAGAGCCACAAGGAATTAGAAATACCCTCACTGAAGCGCGTAAAGGGGATATTTGGTATTTCAACTCTTTATTTAATAGTTAAATGAATTAAGAAAAAATAGGTTGAGTTCTTTTTAATACTAATGAAAACTCTTGCCAATGAATATTTCCCATTTTTAAAAATATTTATATTTAATGCATTTTCAAGCTAAAGCTTTGTTACCTTTTGTTACTAGTAGAGCATATTTGGTAGAAAGTTTTTGCTTAAGAGTCATCAGTTTGCATTGAACGAGTCGAAACTTTATGGCCCATTGGGAAATGCTTGCGCATATCCGAGTGCTAAACAAAGTGAATTTCTCTGGGGGCTAGGGTATGAAAACGCATTTGTATGGGCTGTCAATGCGCTCAACTGCCACTGCTGAACTACTTTTGATACAGCAGAGGCAACAACGAGTTCCTGAAGCGCCAGTGTTACCCATGCAAAAATGTATTTTGCGTTTTGAGTTCGGAGAATTGTGCAGTGCATGCAGTTTTTTTTTTTTTATATCTGTGTGGGTAAGGCGGCAATAGGCGCCTGCCTCATCGATATCATAAAATATTTAGCTATTTTTCGTATCTCGTTTCGTTTTGTTATTGGCAAATTTGGCATGCGTTTTGGCTAAAATTGGCTTTTGGCCAAGTAAACGAGCGGCAGATACACACGTACGACTACAGACACAAATTGCCCATATTTCTGGCATCATTTTAAGTTTATGAGCCGCCTCTGCCTCTGCCTATCATAGCACCCCCCCTCCCCGCCGTGCAGTTATCGCTTGCAACTTGTGCATTGTGCAGTGCCTCCTAAATTCTCAAAGATATTGGGTTTCATTAAGCCAATATTCGTATATGTAGAGGTGGCCGGACTGGCCAGCATCAGCAGTCAGTGGGTCATTAGATGTTCGTATCGATAGCACAAAATTTGTTTACAAATTTATTTGGCCCACAAATAGCATGAGTATTGGGCTGCTGGGATTTCTGGATTGTGGCTTTAAGTGCCTTTCAGTTGCTGCATTCCTTTGGTGCAATGTTGCAAATTGCAAGTTTGTCTTTTGTTTGAACTAATCGATAAGTTTTCATTAGAATGTAAATTTCTAACAAGTTATTCAAACAGAAACTGAGTCGACTTAAGTGTTTATAAGTCTGCTAGAAGTAAATAAAATGTTTAGCAGATACAAAGAATTCCTTCGCAATTTCAATTGAAATGCATAGAGTACATCGCTTTATTTTATGCTTAGGTGATATATGAAATAAAATGGAACCAAAAGTACTAATCACGGTATTTAAACGACTTTATGCAAGCTTGAAGTCGAAAACCATGCATTTATCAAAAAGTATTTTCTTCTGAACATAGTGCAAACAAATATGCACTAAGCGATAACCATAACCGATGAAAAAATAAATCGATATAATTTAGCTCTGATAAAATATGAGATTAAATAGAGTCAAGAGCTAATTACCGTATTAGCAGGACATTTTACAAGCTTTAAGTCGATGAAGATACATTTATCTATAATTATTTGTATTCCAAACACAGTAGAATCAAATATACACTTAATCGATAACAGTAATCAATTACACCCTTATCGATAACAGAATAATTTAAATGTAAAAAGTGGCTTGATTTATTTTGAATTTAAGTATAATATGGAATAAACCCCACCCAGAAGTACTAATTACGGTATTATACTTAATACAAGCTTAAATTCGAGTATTATTTAACGATAACAAAATCGATAACACATCAAGAGCCGCAGCAATGGCAACACTGCTTTCAAATCAGGAAACATTGTTTTGCCAATGAAACGTCTTTTGATGCACCCATTTCGTTAGCGATATGAACCGTAAACCGTAAGTACTAAGCTGCACGGAGCGACACGTCGTGCAGAAGCTCGTAAGTAATCGATTTGATGGCCTCCATTCAATATATGCACTTGAGCACATTGGCCCATTTCGATAACTACACAGGACTCGCCTTAGTGTGTCATGCGATAAATTCTTGCACTTACCGAACCCCGACTGCCCCGTCAATGTGGACCCAGTTAATACGTACAAAGAGAACGAGAGCGGGCGATCCGGAGGAGCAAGTAAGATAACTTTAAGTTGCAGCCATAAAAAATTGCGAAAGTCACAAATGTTTTATGAAAGTTTCTCATTTTATTTAGCCTTTTATATTATATCAGCGCCCTGTGCATCGACTCGAGACAACTCGGCAACTGCACAAGTTTTTAATAAAAGTTCTGTGTGCAGCTATTGCAATACCCCCCCCCCCCCCCCTCCCCATCAAACCGATGCCAGTATCTAGAGGTATATATACCTCTAGCTACCCTCGGGTGTCAGCTACTCGTACTCCGTTTTTCTGTTCAGAAATTCATAACCGCATTTCTCTCGGCTTCTGGCAAACCGAGCAGCAGGCGCAGTTGTACATACCAATTACTTACATATCGACGATGTGGCTGAGACAATAACTGAGAGCATACCCCTCCCCCCACCCCCTCCCCCCTAGACTGTGGCACAGCTGATGCCGCTTTGGCTTATAATAAGTTTCTGTCTCTGGCACACAATACGAGCAATTCGCACATAGAGAATTGAGCAACGTTTGCCAAGTTCCTTGCAGTTCGCTTCCTTCAATATATTTAATATATAATTCAGTTTTCCTCTTCGATTCGTAGACACTTTAAAATTTGGTTTTCTTTTATTAATGCTGGGCAAAATTGTCCGCGTTTTATTTGCTGTTTACGCGCTCCATTGATGTTTGCCCCTCCATCCACTGTTTAGGCGTGTACATCATTTTTTACGGCCCCTCATCAGCGCAAGGTTAGAAGCTTTGGATTGGAGCTGACGTTGCCGCCGCTGCTTAGTTAGTCCTTCATGGCACTTTGATTGCTCATTTGGCATTTATTTGATGACGCCAGGACAGCCAAGACACGCTGCCGCCTACGCTTCCGCCTCCGCCTGCCTTAAATTATTCATTGTGCGTGCCCCGTCCTGCCTCATCCGCGGCGCCTGCAGCATCTTCAATCTTTAGCTGCTGCTGCTGCCCACGTACAGAACTGCGTTGAGAGCGCTGCGAATTTTTAAAATATTCATGTCCTGCCGCTGGCATCGTTGGCCAAGAAACTCGCTGAAAACATCATCGGACCGGGCACTAACTAAATGTGCGTAATTTTTACCGACAGCGCATTGAAAATATCGCTCACAGCTATCAGACAGCAGCTGTACGTGAGTTTGCAACTTGTCCCGGGCCAGCGTCTCGCGGGGCAGAGAGTCTCAACTCGCATAATATTGGATTTGCCGGCTGGTTTAGCTAGGCAATATATACTGGAAGCCTGCTTATTCTTCTTTTGGGATGAACCAAATTGGATGCGA